TGAGCTGGCCACACACACACACACACAATAAATGTAATAAATAAAAATAAATAAATAATTAAAAAAAAAAAAAGGAAAGAATAGGACAAACTTCCTTAATTCTGATTTTATGGTTATACTGATCGTAGTCTTTGGAACCATTGGTCCAGTTGAATGACTGTGAACTCTTAAGATGTTGTAGGCACCAGTAATACATAAAGATGAACTTACTGAATTACAGATGAATGACAGTTACAGAGAGAAAGCTGCTCTAGATCCATATTTTCCCAAACTAAGAAAATATTTTCAAGCAAGCATCCAGATTAAAATTTCAGGAAGTGTAATGCCATCAGGATCTGATAAAGTTAGAGAAATTGAAAAAAAAGAAAAAAGGAAAAAAAAGGGGGCCAGGGAATAAGCTCAGTAGAATAAGAGCTTGCCTGGCAAGCGCAAGGACCTGAGTTCAATCCCTGGTTCCGCAAAGAAAAAAAAAAAAAAAAGAAAGAAAGAAATTGTTGCCTAACTTCAGTTTGTTTGTTTCTAATGTATTTGGTACAGGGTCTTACTACACAGCTCGGACTCATAGTGATCCTCCTGTTTCCAGCCTCCCCAGCACTGGGATTACCGGTGTGCGCCACCACACCCAGTCTCCGGTGGCTGGCTCAGCATGCCTGGGGGTACGGCTGGCGGGCAGGGCATGTGGTGCAGGGATCAAATCTGGTCCCTGCACTTAGCCTAAGCCAGCAATCAGTCCACTGAGCTATCTTTCCTGGAGCCCTAACTTTGGTTTTAAAAAGAGATAAAGAAAAGGATGTATCTCTTGGTGCCTTATCTTGCGCGCGCTGCACACCCTACAGGTCTCTGTCCCAGGTAATTAGAAATTAGAGCCTATCCTATGAAGGTGTAGAAAGATAATCTTGACACATGATGGAAGGGGAATCTGGTAGGTCCAAGTGAAGGGCCACATGAGTCCTTACTGCAAGATATTATTTTGGCCTATTAATATGCTTTCTGAATAAGGTGCTGGGACAAATATCCAACGCTCAAAATGAAGAAAGGAAAGACTCACAGTTAGTGGAGGTTTCAGTTCATACTCAGCTGGCTCCAAGACAGAGTGGCACATGGCACAGAGCAAGCTTTCATGGCGGCGGCAAAGAGCAGAGAGCAGTGGGGGTGACAGAGGCAGTAATGACTGTAGGAAGCAAGACTCCCTTAAGTGGCATTCAGGCTCCCTGCCCCAGGCTGGGTGCGGCACTCACACCCATAATCCCAGTGAATCATGAGTTAACCACAAACTCTAGAAGTCAGCCCCATGACTGCATGAGGCTTCGGGGGGACAAGTACACACCATAACAGCACTGAAGTATTTATTGTTTTATGATAAATAATGTTGATCAAACATGAGTACAGTAATATAATGAAATTTAAGTAGAAATGGACTCATCCATAACAAAATGGGCTGGGTGTGGCAATACAGACCTGTATTCTCCTGCCCCAGGAAGCTAGGGCAGGAGAATCTCAAGTTCAAGATCAGTTTGGGCTAATTAACAAAACCTTGTCTCAAATACAAACATAAGGAGCTGGGGCTGTTGATCACTGGTAGAGTGCTTGTCTGGCATGACTGAGGTCTGGCTTCAACCTCTAGTACTGCAAACAATAGCGTTTTACTTTTACTGTTGCTGAGACAAAATACCCAACGCTCAGTGTTAAGGGAGGCAAGGCTTACTGTGGCTCCCAGACCATAGAGGCTGCGTTCACAGCTGCCCAGCTTCAAGGCAGGGTGGGTGACAGAGGGCATCGCAGAGGAGAAATGGTTTGTGGCAAGCAGAAAGCAACAGAGCAGCAAGGGGGCAAGGGGCAAGCATCAAGGGGCAAGCACCAGCCAGTGACCCCCTTTCTGTCTCTCATGTCCTTCCTCGCTGCCCTCCTTTCTGGCAAGTAGCAGTCATACCCAGGGCAGGCAGGTTCAATTCCAGCATCATTCCACAACTCCATCCCAGCGTTACGCCCTCTAGGCCCGGCCACCCCCAAAGCCTCACCTGCGGTGACCTGAGGCTTTGGGGTGTGTCTGCATACAAGCCATAGTGAAGATTAACAAACTGTGTAGTGTAAAAGCATGGTTTTCAGGATTAAGATCAAATACGACCTCCCTCATGCCCTGCTGGCGCTGGCCTTGTCTGCTTGGAATTGCCTCCTTGCCTCCTTTGTCGCCCTGGTACTGCAGAGGGTCACAGCTGTGTTTAGTTTCAGGTGCTCTTTGCCATACAAGGATTGCCCTTGTTGCCATTTTAGTCTGAGGTAGTGCCTGTTACAGGGTAGGAGCTTGCTAGGTCCTTAAGGAATGAGTCTGCAAAGAAATGAGAAAATGCCTTTTTTCTAAGTCCATATTTTTGTCATGAACAGGTACTTCTTCACATAGCTACAGCCTGTCCCAGGAAATCACCACGCTGTACCTGCAGTAAGTAAGTTTACAGGGAAGAGGAACAGCGTATAATTTTATAACTCTACTTGGAAATTGTTGGCTTTATCTTTTGCTATGGTCGTGTCTGTACCAGTGTTTGGTCAAGTAAATGGTGGCTTATAAGATTTTATTAATTCATTTTGTTCTTTTTCCCCTTATTCCTTAAATTCTTTGGATAGGAAAAAAATTTTTTTTATTCGTTCCTCTGCTTGTTCCTCTGCTTTTATTGATTGTTTAAAATTTAAATTCTATTGGTTTCCATAATGGCGATGTGACCACAAGCTAAAATTCTTGAGCTAAAAATGTTTTTTTGGTGTGGTTTTTGTTACCTGAAGTTTAAATTAATAACAATAAGGGCTGGGGGTCCCCCCCCACCCCCGTATGTTGCCTAGCATATAGGGGGCCTGGGTTCGATCCATAGCACTGCAAAAACAAGACCAATCCCCTACAAATAACGTGTGTGTGTATTTCCATTGTTGAGTATTTACTTTTGTTTTTTCCCTTTATTTTTTTTTTAAACATTTATTTATTTATTGTGTGTGTGTGTGTGTGTGTGTGTGGCCAGCTCAGCCCACCAGGGGGCGGGGCTGGCTGGCATGTGGTGCTGGGGGATTGAACCGCGGTCCCTGTGCTCTGCTAAGATTGTTCTAAGTAGGTGCTTTAGACCACTGAGCCATCTCACCAGCCCCGAGTATTTACTTTTTTGTATCAGGGATTAAAATAGGGACCTTGTGTTTGCCAGGCAGGTACTTATGCCTCTGAGCTCTCTCGCTGGCCCGAGCATTTAGCTGGGGTGTGAGATCTCACTTAGCACTTCTGCGTCTACCCTCTCATTTCATCATTATGCTCCTGAGATGTTGATGTTACTAATACGCCTAAAAGATTTTCACAAAATCACATTGTTGGAAAGGAGCTGGGCTGGGGTTCGATTTGAATCTACTGCTGTTTGCCTTCCGTTCCAGAGCCGCTATGTGAAGCCGCCGTTTTCTCCAGGTATTTGTGATGCCGCCTTTCCCCTCACATTTCACTGTAACGCACATTCATGTTTTAGCTTAAAATAATGCAGCTGTGTTTGTCATTAATCCTTTTTCTCTGCGGAATATTTATTGTTTTCACATCTTAGCTGTTCTGAGCAGAACTCTTTGATTTATTGTGATGTTAATGGCTCATAGAAATTGTTTCTTTTTTTCTACTGAAGAGAGAGGAAAATTATTTTATTTCACATGCGGTATTATTTTCTAAGTGGCAGTTTAGTCTAAACAGATTTTAACAGCTCTGAGACAGAATCCTAGAATTTAGATACTGCACTAATTGTGTAAAACAGCATCTCAAGGGCTGGCGAGGTAGTTTAATGGACTAAGCACCTGCTCAGGGAAGTGCAGGGACTGGGTTCGATCCCCAGCACCATTTGCTGTGCTGGTCTTGGCCCTTGGTGCGCTGAGACCAGGTGTGGTGGCGCACACCTATAATCCCAGCACTGGGGAGGCTGAAAACATGAGGATCGCTATGAGTCCGAGCTGCATAATGAGGCCGCTTACAAAATATGTTAAAAACAAAAACAGCATCTGAAGCTGCCATTTGGTATAACTGCAAGATAATAGTGGGTGGATAACAAGATAGCCCTTCTGCATTCTGGTCAGAAAGTAAAGAGAAGGCTAAATCACTGGAGATAGTAGTGCTTGCTGGTCATTCATCATATGTTTAAATTTATATTTGAAAAGCTTGCAGTAAATGGAAAAACATTTGGGGCTGTAGAACTGGGTCGGTAGAGAACATTTGCCTAGTGTGCACATGGCCCTGGGTTCAGGTACCAGCACTACAAGCCCTCCTCCCCCGAACACTACCGACCCCCCCATCTGAAAAAATAGTCATTTTTAAAGCCCTAACTGTGATATGTTGTAGGTAGTAGAGTGGAGCACAATTTGTTATAATCTGATCTGCTAGTGTTTGGGGGTGGGGTGGTGTATGCTGTATGCATGCAGCTGACTAGCACGTCTAGACAGGATCACATTCATTATTACATAAAATCACAGCTAAGGAATTATGGGTGAACAACCTTAGTCATTATTGGTAACTGTGCCATTTTATATCACTTCGTATCTTTATGGTGTTGGCCCATTAGAGTTAGCTTATTTTTACACAAAACTGAATGTTGAGATATCATACGAATCCAGTTTTATTTATTTATTCATTTATTTAGGTACCAGAGATCAAACTCAGGAGCTTGCATTTGTCAGGCAGGCGCTTATGCCTCTGAGCTATCTTTCTAGCCCTTGAATCCAGTTTTTAAAATAAATTACATTTTCCCTCCAAACAACTTTGTTTCCTAATCAAAATAATTAAATAAAGTAAAAAATAAATTTGAATTTGAATTATTACTTCCAGCAATCGGGCAGAAACTTCCTTTGAAATCACCTTTAATAGGACATTAAAATTTGTCATCTTAGGGCTGGGGAGATAGCTCAGTGGAGTAAGCACCTCCCTGGGAAGAGCAGGGTCCTGAGTTCAGTCCCGGGTATTGGGGCTAGGAATTTAGCTCAGTGGTTGAACGCTTGCCTAGCAAGCTGGAAGCCCTGGGTTCAGTCCTCAGCACCAAAACCAAAAGCAAATAAACAAATGTAAAACCCACCGCAATCCCCTGTGCTAGAGAAAACAAGAAGGATCTGCTGTGTGAGCTGCGGGTCCTGCCCTGAGGGCATACCAAGACCACGTGGACGCTGGGTGTGGTGGCGCGCACCTGTCATCCAGAGCTTGGGAAGCTGCAAACAGCAGGATCGCTGGAGTTGGGTCTGTGTAGTGAGACCCTGTAGCCCCTGTATTGAATGAAAAAAAAAAAAAATTAAATGTTTGTCAGTGGAAACTGCTGGTAGTGTGTACATGTATTCTTTAATAATTCAGACTATACTGGCATTTAATTTTTTTTTTTTCTGTTTTTCCTCCAAGTAGTCTTCCAAACAGTCTAGTCTCCTTTCCCTGCTCCAACCTTAATTCCGCGCAGAGTCTCCATCAATCTCTTCCCATTACCCTTGCCTCTCTCTACCCAGGCTATTATAAATTAGTGGCAGTGAACATGTTATCTGAGTTGTAGGAGTTCTTTATATATCCGACCATATTTCTTGAAAATGAGACTGGGTGTTATTACTCTTTGCTCTGAGAGGTACACGAGGGCTTATTTTCAGAGGATGTCTTGGTTTTTTCACATCTGTTTATTCATACACAATAGTGTACATTTTTTCCAGTATAGTCATACTGTCCTGTTCTGGAACACTGTCATAACTTTTTAAACTCGGAATTGCAGCCTGCCTATCTCGTGACTCCATTTCCTGGAGAACTGGGCCCCAGTCTCATGTCCAGTGGGGGAGCTCTGTAATTAAAGGAGCACTTACTGGTGTCCCCTTTCCATAGCACAGACACCACGGCTGTCTGGGACTGCTTCCGCAGGTTCTTCACGCAAGCCACAATCTCCCGTAGCCTAGGATTCACAGAGGGTTTCCTTTAAGTCAAGTGTTTTTTTGCGGAACCGGGGATTGAACTCAGGCCCTTCCACTTGCCAGGGAAGCGCGTGTTCCACTGAGCCTTTTCCCGGCCTCTGAGTCAAGTGTTAATTGATACATGAGACAGGGTGGCAACAAAAATGCTGGCACTTAAGGGTGATGCTCCAGGGGCTGGCGAGACAGCTCAGCGGGCCAAAGTGCCTGCTTAGCCCAGGAGCCGCGGTCTGATCGTGGGCGCCACATGCTTCGCCAGCCCCGTCCCCAGGGCAGGCTGAGCTGGCCGTAGAGTCTGGACTGGTGGCTCAAGCCTGTAATCCCAGTGCTGGGGAGGCTGAAAACAGGAGGATCACTACGAGGCCACACTGCATGATGAGACCGTGTAACAGCCACATACATTAAAAAAAGAATGATGGTCCACACAAAACCAGTGAAAAATTTTAGGCCCCAAAATTCAAAAACCTTTTTTGAATTAAGTGTGTCCATTACATGCTGCACAGATTATGAAGGCTCACATTCATTCAGCACAGCCACGTCGTTCATGCTCAGGTGCCTGTGGCCTGTACTCCTGTTGGTCATTCGGCAGTATGTCTCGAGTTCATCTGTTTACATCAGTGCTTATCTCTCCTCCAAAGTCAGGCACGGGGGTATTTATAAATACTTAATTAATAAATAATTTATATTATTTATTTGAAGTGTTACTTATACATCAACATATCTAATTATATATTAATATTGCTATTTTATAATCTCGTATGTCTGTTTGCGTGTTGGATGCACTAAATGTGCCCCTCTGGCTGCTGATCTGGACGGGGCTTGTTTGGGGCAGCGCTGACGCCGGAGCGTCCGGGAAAGTCTCCAGGGCGTGTCTTCAGGGAAACGTGGCAGTGGCTGTTGTCCGCTGGCCCCGCATAGCGTGGGCAGATGTTCTCCCCGTTTTTTGTGGGCACATTTGGCCATTGGAAAAAGCTGTCATTTGGTGGCACAAAGTTTTTAATATTATATAATAGAATTGATCACTTTTTCTTTTACTGTTACGATTTTTGTGTCTACCTAACATCTTTGTCTTGAAAAGAGTCACCTGTTTTCTCCTGAAAGCTTCATGCATTTAGCTTTCATGTTGATGATCCATCTTGAATTAATTTTTTTATCTGCTTTTATTATTGACACTCAGTCCTTGAAAATATATTTTACCTCTATTTTATAAATGGGGATTTTGAGGACTCCAAGAACGTGTTACTCTCTGTGAGTGTGTTAGTAAGTTCAGTCTAGAAATGTAAATCCTTTTGAGGCAGAATGTGTGTTAGGTCTTATTTATGTACAGTGTTTAGGTCAGGACCTGGTTTTGAGATGTCTCCTTCATTATAAAAATAACGTTGTGAAAAACTGAATGTGCTTCAGGTCACTGATTTATTTTAATAAGAAATTGTGGTGTCAGGTTCTGAACAAGAATGCACATACATCATCAGCTAGAGATATTATGCTTAATTACAAATATTCTGACCTGATG